TGTGCAAAGGGAGCTCCGCCGAGCCGTCCCTGTGCCGGGCTGAGAGCGACTGCGCAGTACGCTCTGTGCGGAGCCGCTGCCCCCACAGCGGCGGAGCTCTCTGCTCTGTGCTGTGCTGTCTGTGTGTGTGGCGCCCGCTGAGATGCCTTCGCGACTTGTCCTCGAACGGCACGGGCCTGAAGGTGCGCGCGCCTGGGACGGGAAGGGCCCATAGGGCAGGGGCTCAGGCTGCTCGCTCTTGGCTCTCTTCCGCAGGACGGCTCCGGAGGCATCGCGCGGGTGAAGCGGGGCGTGGACGTGGAGGTTCCCTTGAACAGCCTCGTGGTGCTCCCGCTGAAGATTAAGGCCGGCGCGCGCCCGGCCCGAGCTCCGCGAAAGCGGGCGCTGTAAGGGCTTAAGAAGCTCGTCTGCGCGCAGCCGCTTTAATCGTCTGCCCTCGGGTTGCACCAGCCAGTCACCAGATAGGCCTGAACACTCGAGGCCAGATGAGCGTTTCTCAACGCGACGTGTAGGGAATGTTCCCAGCAGGCTGCCAGGTAAGCACTACCATGCACTACCCATCTCCTTTCCCACAAGCCCAGTGGCAGCACTGCAGGAGATTGAGCGCTTGAAAGCCCAGTTTTCCAAACAAAAGCGGGATCTGAGCTGCTGCTTCGTTTTAGAGATGAGAAGCGCTCTATGCGACTCTACGTCGAGGCGGCTACGAGTGCCAACGCGTTGGAGTCCCGGATGTTTGATGCTCAGAGCCTGAGAGCTTGAAAAAGTCTCCGAGCTTTGGGAGTGCTTTTCTTTCCTGTTCTCTGTGGTGAGGTGCTTCGCCGTGGAACTCGGCGAGGAGGCAGACGCTGCGCCCATGCCGGACCCCGTCCAGGCCAAGCAGACACAAAAGGCAAAGAGCACGCCAACGAATTGCGCGCTCGCCTCGGGCGCCTCGGGCGCCTCGCGCACGCCCCGCTCTCTTCTTTTGTCGGGCCGTTTTCCGTCGTTCAGGAGGCGCTGTTGGCCCAGGCGCGGATGGCCGCGGAAGTGCAGAAGGCGGCCCTGCGGGAGCTCGCGGAGCTGGAGCTGGCGAAGGCCGAGGCCGCCGTGAAGGAAGCGGAGGAGCTGTGCAGCGGGAGCTGTGACGCTGCAAGCTGTCTGCTGTCTCTCTCTCGCTCTCGCTCTCTCTCGTCCGCAGAGGCGGCGCCGGCGCCCGCCACCGTGGCAAACGGAGAGCGAAAGGAGCAGACGCAGAAGGAGGACCAGGAGGACCAAGAGGCGAACAAGGAGGAGGGGGCGCCGGGCTTGGAGGCCCAGGCGAGTGAGGAAAAGAAGCGGAGCGACCGCAGCCCAGCTCAAGGACGCAGGGACGAAGGCTGTGGATCTGATTTCTATAGACTCTGGACGCTCACCCGACTCTACGCGGACACGCTTTCGCTCTCTTCCGGAGGTGCGAGGAGCCAGCAGCGTCCCAGGAGCCGCAGCCGCAGCCGAAGCCGCCATCGCAGGGCACCCAACAGTGGCTAATTATGGCTCAAGTCTTGCACAATTGCGACAGAAAGCATCCTCTAGGGAGGCTCTTGTCAGGGCGGTGTCTCTGAGGCAGCGAGCAGAGGAGCGCGCCGAGGCGCCGGAAGCACCTCACCTCTGAGTGCTCGGATCCCATCTCTGCGCAGGAGACGAGAGGAGCGTCGAGACCGAGACGGCAAAGGCCGAAAAGGAGACCGCGACCGGGACCGCGCTGACCGCGCTGAGCGGAAAGAGAGCCGAGACGTCCACGGCCGAGACGGTCACCGAGACGGCCGAGACCGAGATCGAAACGGGAAGAGGCCCTCGTCCCGCTCCCGTCGCCAAGATCGCGGAGGAAGGCCGCTGGAGAGACACGCAGTCACGCTTGAGCAGAGGTCTCAATACTTGAGGGAGCTATCTTCAGCGCACACCAAGAATAGGCAAACAGATGAAACCCGCTTCTTCAGACGGTCATTTCTGGAGTCTGCCCAGCCGGCAAGCAGACCAGAAAGTACAGTATCTTGCACATGCAACTATCATGCTGCGATCGTGAACGCCCCTTATAATGCTCTGAAGGGCATGAGCGGACGAGGAGAAGCTTGCAGGGCTGCTGTCTTCCGTTCTTCCGTGTCCGGCAGGCGGAAAGGTTCTTCCCGCTCGCGCTCACGGCGTGAACCCCGACGACGTTCGCGGTCGCGCAGGTGGGGGGGAGTCGGGAGAGGGAATTGTGCCAGCGCCGAGTTTCACGGAGGTCTGTGCGGGAGAAGCGTGCCTGGCCCAGAGGGGCAGAAGATGGCAGAAGCAGCCGAAGCCGCAGTCCATCCGCAGTCCCATGGACCGATTTTTTAGGCCGCGCGAGCACCAACTTCAGCGCTGGTCCAGCTGCGGAGCCCAACCCGGAGGGCTCCGGCTCCGCGGCAGCCCTCCCGGACGATCTGCTGAAGGCAAGCGCGGCAAACGGGACCTCTCGGACTCGACTCTCGACTCGCCTCTTTCGGCCGAAAGCGCGAGGACTTGCGGGCGGAGCCACCAGCCGCGACAGCCGCGTCTCCGACACCCAGCCCTGCACCGCCTGCACCCCAAACGGGACAGAGATGAGAACTCAATTTTCCTCGCTCACCATCAATGCTTTGCAGGCTACCCACTGCGCTTCAAGGCAGCGCATGACCACAAAATCTGGATAAATTGAAGCATATTATGCATGCATGAATGTATGTAACGTATGTATGTAGTCTTGTCGGCGTGGCCCTGGCCATGCTTCGGCGGCTCAGTGCAAAGATGGCAGGTGCTTCCTCGCCGGCGTCTCCCGAGAGCAGTTCCGTCGGCTCCGGACTTCCGAGCGTGTTCGGCCAGAGCGGCCCGACTAACGTGGTGGCTCCTAAGGCAGGTCTCACCGCTGTCGTTCTGAAGCCTCGTGGCCCTAGCCACACCGTCGTCCCCCCCAAAGCACCGGGGCCCTTGAACTTGGCAGAGGCGGGGAAAGGAAAAAAAAGAGAGATTGTTCGGTGTGCATGCAGAGAAGCGGCAAGCCCTCGCGAGGCGGCCGCCAAAGCTGCGGCTGCACTCATGGCCAAGGAGGCACCCAGCAGCGGCGCTTCGAGGCGTCCCCTGGCCGGGCCGGGGCCGCTTTTTGGCCCTGGCCGGGTGGCACCTCGAGGGCTCGGCACTTTGGGGACTTTCGGGTCCCCTCCAGAAAAGGAGGCTGAGGCGCCCAGCTTTGAGATCGGCTCGGACGTCCAAGTCCTGAGCCAGGCTGGCGGGAGGTCTCTGCGTCGGCTGCATCTCTGCTTTGCGGTGCAGGGCCAGTGGAAGATCGGCACCGTGCTGGCTGAGACGGCCAGCGGCTTCTTGGTGCTCACGGACATGGAGCAGCTGGAGGTGCCTGCTGCAGAAGTGCGGAGACCTTTCTCGACACCCGCCAGGGCCCCAATTGCTCTGAGAGCATCCGCAGAGCATCGCAGTGAGCGGAGAGGTGAAATCACCAGGGCCAGGACTAGCAGCTGCCTTACAGGCGAAAATAAGCAACAGTCTTCACAGCAGCCACTTCTTCCATGAACAAAGGCCCCGGCCCCCGGACCCGCTGGGCTCGGAGGACCCCTCAGGGCACCTCTCAGTCCCTTCGTGAGCCCTCGGCCTACTGCCTCTTGGGCTGCACAGCGGCGCGCAGCGGCGCAGCGCAGCGCAGCGCAGCGCGACGGGCACCGCGACGCGACGCTCCTGCAGGCTGTGCCCGTGCGACCGAACTTCGCGCCGGAGATGGCCTCGGCCTCGGCCGTCGGACGCGCGCCGTAGGCTCTTTTCTGGGCCGCAGGTGATCCGGCCGAATCTGCCCCTGCGGCCCGCGCCGATCTAAGCACGGATTGCGGAGCGAGCGAAAGCGACTAAGCGGACAGGCTCCGCATGGCCAATCCACTACAGCGCAGTAAAAGCGGGGCTTTTCGCTCTCTCATTTGGCAAACCTCGAGGCGGGGCGGCCTCGGCCGTTTTGAGCTGCGGCCTAAGAGCTCAGAGAGCCCTGGAAGCACTTCTCCGCAGTTGTGTGCCTTGCCCCTTGCTGGATTTACCGATACCTTCCTTGGCTCAGAGTTTTCGAGAGCTCAGGGTTGAAAAGAGTCCGATTTCATGTCGTTGGGGCTCCGCTGGAGTTCAGGACTGCGGGGACTGCGGAGCGCTGGGCAGCCGCGGTTCTGTCTCACCGCTCCTGATAAATGCGTCGGAGAAAGCCGAAAAGCTCCGCTCTCAAGGCCGCATTCCGATTTGTGCAGCCATAAAAAAAAAGATGGCTGAGTAATTAGGCCTGTTTGCTGGGGCTCTGGGCTTGAACACCCGTCCTGAGCTCGTCTAGATTCCCTGTTTCCCTGTCTGCAGAGGGCGTCAGCCTGCATTGGATGATGGGCTTATAGATAGCCGGGATTTTCTTCTGCTCTCTGCTACAGACGGCTTCTGGATTTTTTTTGGCATTTAGCCGTGGTAGCAACTCAGCGTGACGCTGATAGATTTGTCACATTGTGTACCGTCTTATGTTTTGGATGGGTTCAAACCCTGGTCTGCATGGAAGGCCCTCTGTTCCGTCTCAGCTTCGTTCCCTGTTCGCTGGTGTCTTGGCCGGTCGTCGCGATGCTCCTGCATCGTCGGTCCTCCTTGTCCTTCTTTCACGGCTGTTGCTACTAAAACGCTTGACTTCATGTTGGCACAGTGAACCCTGGATTTGCGGCATGTCCGCCCAGTTGCTCAGCTTCCTGAGACTCGAAAGCCATGATGTAAGGTGCTTGGGGGTGTCCAACATGGTCGGAAGGCTCGACGTGCGAGGTACTTATCACCTGTATGAAGGGATGAGTGTACGAATAGTGAATAGTGCAATATACAGAAGGTTTCGGTGGTTTGCCAAGTTCATATCAGCCCATGTCCATGCGTTTTGTCCTGTTGCCAAGCATCTTCCAAGACTCGGTCTCGCAAGCTGCGACTGCGATGGCGAAGGGGATTTAGTTTGCTGCTTGACGGCATGCTTCGAAATGGCGGAACCTGCGCCTGGCACTTACGCCCCGGTAATTGCAGCGGGCATCCCATGTCAGCCTTCAGGCCTCAGAAGCCGCCACAATCTGCAGACAGGCGATTCCTGTCGCGAAGAGTCGGGATGGCGCGTGCACCCGCCCTTGCAGGACACCGCCCAAGAGCCGACCGGCACGGACCTGAGCAAGACCGGCCGGATGGCGTTGTGCAGCCCTGTCGATTGTTTCCCATGAGAACTGGTGCAAACAAGGACGCTGCTGCGGTTGATGGAATCGCCGCAGCGGGTCAAAAGGGCGTCGAAACCGCCAAGCCAGCCACCCAGCAACCCAGCCACGGCACCTGTCTTGTTATAGAGTGGTGCTGAAGCCGCAGTTGACGTAGGTCAGGGCCAAGCCCGAAGATAATGAAGAAAGGCCGATCCGATTGGGGGACTTTAAAGAGGACAGGGCTCTTAGCTGTTTTGGGGAGGCCCAGCGCGAAGTCCGAAGCGGACGCAGGGGCCAAGGCGACTCTTTGGGCTCCAAAGCCGACTGAGAGGTGAAGTCTTGTCTGTCGTGGGTCCCAGCGCACAAGCACCTCTCCTTCACCTATGTCTGGCAGGAGCCAGGAGAACGAGACCGTTGCCGGCTGGGTGGTTTCGGGCCCAGGGGTACACCTGTCGCGGTGTTCGCTCGCTTGAGCAGCTCTGCTCTTGCGGCCCAGGAGCATGACACTCGCATCCGTCGCGCGATGCCTTTGAACCCAACTTCGGAGGATCCGAAGTCATTCGTTTCATTTGTGCACTCGATTGGCCATGGCTCTCAGCCACAGGAAAGAGCCGAGAAAGACGGGTGCTCAGTCGGATCAGTGCGCTTTCTCGCCGAAATTTGTGGGACTGAGCAAAAGCCTGCTTGTCTTCGGTGGATGTGTGTGGATGTGCGTGCGCGTGCGTACATGCTTTAGTGCATGGCATTGCCTGAAAGGGCGGGGGGTGTTCTGCTTCAGGCGCACCTGGCTGTCCACCCTGCCCTCGAAGCAGCTCGTGCAAAGGGCAAAAGGCTTCGAGGTGTGAAGAGGCTCCAATGCTTGCAGCATCCTCCCGGATTTAGTTTCATGATCTGCTGCAGCGATATGTTCAGCTCATGAATCTGTCTGAAAAGGTGTGAAGTGCACAGCCCTGTTGTTCTCCATGTTTGATAGCATGGTTGCTTGTAGGGCTTTGTAGGGCTTGAAGGTTCGACCATGCTCCCCCATTGTCGTGATCCTCACGCTGCTTTCTTTATCTTTGAGCTGAGGAGTTCTTCTGCTTGTGGGGATTTGTGGTGTCTAATCTGTCTCCCAAAGAGGAAGCAGAAGCAAAGAGTGGGTGCTCTGCAGTGCTTTGTGCAGGTATGCCGGGATCGGGGCGCAAGCCTCCTCTGTGGACCAAGCCCGGGCCCCAGGCTGGGCCCCAGGCTCAGGTAGCGTTGAGTTCGGTCCGGTGGTTTTGGGGGGGTACGGCTACGGCCATTCAGAAGGGGCTTGGAGGGACCTATGCGAGTCACTGCCTTAAGGGAATAAGAGGAGGGAAAAAGCTCTGACTGCTGAGTTCTTCTGGGGACGACCGGGGGTCAGGGCCAATCCCGCTTTTGCGGTATTGACTTGAGAATGCCGCAGACCTCAGCACCTGCGATGCTATCGCGAAAACAAGCCCCAACTCGTAACAGGTTCTTGGAAATCTTTCCGAGCAGGCGAGCAAAAGGAAAGCATAGATGTCCAGGAACTTGGAGATGTTACTGAAGTCCTTCTCTACTGCAATTGGGGTATCGATTCACGCGTTTGGTTGTCGAGTTACTGAATCGTTCTGCAGCTTCCAACCTCCGGCCGTTCTCTTTCAAAAGCGCTCGGACAGAACTCTTTTTTTTGTTTCGCCGATTCGCGGCTTCTGCCCAAGCTCCAACGCCTGACAGAAAGTATACCAGGAACCGCGAGACTGGAAAAAAAACAGTGCAGACAGGGCCGCACGGGGCTCCGTTCACTCCCTGAGTCTCTGCTAAGTTTCAGATCCTGACGCCTCACATCAGTGCTTCAGGTGATTTTTGGACGTGACATGGATTTTAGTGGAGACGGAGACGGCGCAGATCTCGCAGACCCTGCCTGAGAGGTCCCACCTGTCTGCCATTCCTTCGAAGCTTATGCTGAGGAGTACGACGGGCGTGCCGGTCTCTCCTCTCAGTCCGTGCCACGTGCAGGCTGGCAAGCTAGCTGGTCAAGTCAACTCCATACAAGTATAGGATCCTTGAGGACATGCCTGGACAGGTGGTGTGAAGAAGGTAGACGCTCCGAAAGAGGCCTGGATCAGCCTCGGCAGAGGTGCCAAGGTGCGCAAATCTCGTTTCCGAGACCATTTCGCGATGGCAAAATGGGCAAATGCAGGAGTCCGGGTCACCAAGTGACTGTCGTCATTCATCCGGTAACTCGAACACGAAAGGCATCGGGGGGTGCGGTACGTTATTGGTAGGCTGATGATCGGCGACATGTTCCTGCCGCCTTTTCGACGGCTTACGTGCGTGGTCAGGCCCACTACCTCCAAATCAAAGCCATGGTGTTGCCGAGGCTGGCATGCGAATTCTCTGTGAGATTTGGCCGAATCCTGGGCCAACCACACACACGAGCCCTGAAACTACAACATTGCCGCAACCGCTCCATGTCGTGCGCTCCTGTAGGCCCCTTCGCTAGGCGATGATTCGGCGCCAGCAACACCTGGGTTCTTGTGTGCATCCTGTCAAGCTTTTTGGAGCATTCACTTTTTCTGGGGTTCGTTCTGAAGCTTATCATGTGGTAACACACATGGTGAAGGCAAGCGGCCGTGCCGACAGCACGCAAGTTGAGGGCAAGCGGCCGTTGCCTCCACCATGATCTTGGTGCCGAAACACACGGTGAAGACACGTGGCCGTCGTTTTCACCACGGCTTTGGTGCCACCATGCTTTCGTTGCCAAAACTTTAAAACACGTTGCCTTCCGCTGGCGGAACGGGTTGAACCCACCATTACCTAGACGATGGCGGTTGATGAAACCGACCCCTCAGGGTTGGTCACACCGTTGTCTAAACCAACCCGGCTTTTGATCACACTTCTTCGTGCATGGCGGCTGATCACATTTCGTAACACGAGCCGCCTCGCTTGGCGATGGCGGTTGCTCGCATTCTTTAGCCGCGGCGATGAGGAAGCGATGGCGTCAGATCACAGCATTTCAGGCGATCGCACCATTTATTAATAAACTCGTGTCAAGTGATTGACCACGTTTCTTGAGCCAGCTCCCTCATTAAGGGACTGCAGTTGACCGCAGTTCTTAAACCGCAACCTCATTAGACCATGGCGGTTCATCCCATTTCTTGAGCCTCATCCAGCGAGTGTTTGATCAGGTTTCCTGGACCCCTGAGGCCATGGCCGTGGATCTTCATCCGGCCCTTCTTTTGGCGAGCGCGGTTGATGTCTCAAAGGGCCCCATAGGTCACCTTCCTTCGACCAGGGCCCCCTCATTGAGAAAGGGCGCGCGCGTCTGGGGCGACGTGCTGTCATCGCATGTAACCAAAATGGGGGACCTGTCCTTTCCCCCCCCTCAAGGCCACAGCGGCCAGGATCGTCGCAGTCGCAGTCGGAGTCGGCCGGCGGTCCTGCTGGCCTTGTCTTAGTGTCGGTCCGTCTCATGGCGACGGATGCTTTTGTTCATAGAGGTCTAAGCCCCCCCCCTCCAAGCCCCCCCCCCCCAGAAACCAAGCGTACATTAAGCAATTAGTGATACATTGAGGGTCTGCTCCTTTGCGTGCGATTTCGGAAGCGTCGGGTCCCTAATGTTCATCTAACTGCTGCCTAAATGCCGGGTAATTCCTGCGGAGAATTTTAGAGATCAAGAGCTGGGGTTTGCCGCCGGGTAAGCCCCTGGACCCTGGTTTCCCTAACCGCAAATCTTTAAACCCTTACCGGGGCCTTGTTTCAGCCTTTCGGAGCTTGATAACGGGGGTTTGGGGAGGCTTCAGGGCCTTCAACGGATATTTTATTTTTGGTGCTCTTGTATTAATTTAGGGGTTTGGAGTTTAGCTCTCACTCAGGGCAGACCTTAAACCGCAAAGATCTCGAGTCCGAATTCTTTTAGCGCTGCCCTCTGGCGAACGGAGCTTCGCAGTCGTGGCTTGCTGCTGCAGCAGGCAAGCAAGACGGGACGAGCACCCGAACGTGATGTAGCCACAATCCCACTTAAATTGACTTATGGAGTCTACGTCTAGGAATTTAGAGGGTCGCTGCTATACTGTTGTGGGATCTTGCGGGCGCCACATCATCGTGAAACTGTAGCGAATCTGGCCCTCTCGCTGGTTCCTCAGATGACATGGGACACACTGTCTCTTTTCACTCATCCGAAACTGAAACCCCCCTAAGAAACCCTTTAAACCCTAAACCACAAACCCCAAACCCTAAACCCCAAACATCCCCAAACCCTGAATTAACCCCAAACCCTAGACCCTAAACCCCAACCCTGCTCAATCTCTAAAGCCCTGAACCCCGAAGCCCAGCTGCCGTGCTCGTCGTGGGCGTAGCTTCTCGGTACCTGCCGGGATTAAGATTCCGGGGGATATGGTGTAATATATGGGCTTAGGTCCATGGATGTTGAGGGCATCTTGTGGCGCCACTAGTCTTTGGATCCGACAAGCATACGGCAAGCCCGGATAGAACAGCACTTAAGGGGACAATAAGGGTACATTAGGGACACATTTACCGAACAATAAGGGGCAATTCGCTTCAGCACCGGCCCACAAAGCTTTAAGCCCTGAATCCTAAATCCCGAACCCCAACCGTCCTTTAAAACCCCAGAAACCAAAATCCCCACGGCTTCCCCTGAGCGCCCTAAACCCTGAACCCCTAACCCCGAAAACCCCTGACCTAACGCCTAAACCCTAAACCCCTAAACCCAAACACCGAAACCCTAAACCCTGGGCGCCCGGCATTGTGACCTTCCGCCACTTGCTTCTGAAGCCGCGGGGTGTTGCCTGGGCATAGCGGCATAGTCCCTTAATTACGGAATGAACCCTGGTTTAGGGTTTAGGGTTCGATATATCATACTGGGGTTTTAGGGTTTACGGTTTAGGGTTTTGGGGTTTAGGGTTTATATACGGATTCAGTCTTTGCGCAAGCTTGTCTTAACTGACAGAATACCCTGCTTTGCGTGTTGTCTGGTGGTTGCAGACAGCTTTAAGCCCTTACGTATTAGCGTTCAGGGATTTAGGGTTCGACTAAGGTTCACGGGCTTCGGTGTTAGATCATGTCCCCGGCAAAGGCTTAAACCTCTCTGTAAGCAGACTCTGGAAATGCAAAGCAAGCCACGTCAGCTTGCTGCGGCAGAAGAAGACGACAGCCCTGCACAATAGTTCTCCAGCTGGGCCCGGGATGGCCTGAGAGATTAAAAGCGGAGGGAAGTGTTGTTGTTGTTGTCGTTGTTTATTTTAGGCTACAGCAACTGCAGGACAAGTGTCTGCGGTTTGTGCAGCTATCAAGCTCTAAATGTCGCCTTAATGTGTCCTTATTGTTACCTTAAATGCTGCTCTGTTCGGGCGCGTGCAACTATCAAGCACTAAATGTCGCCTTAATGTGTCCTTATTGTTACCTTAAATGCTGCTCTGTTCGGGCGCTCCATGAAATTTCGAGATGCATTCGGACAAAAACAGATCACAAACCGAGTTGCAGATCGAAGCGCTGCTCCGGATGCAAACGGTTCCAGCGACCGTAGCAAAACTCGAGGCATTGCTCCAAGGCGTCTGCAGCGTTGGAGGAGCGCATAGTCGGCCATTTGCGAGTGCAGCTCTGTGGGAGAAGCGCCTCTGCCTCGCCTTGGATGAGCTTATTATGGATCGCACGTTTTGAAGTTTACCAGATGCATGTCCGCTGAACTGCATTCCAACCAAGCGGTTTCTAGAATCTGCCAAGGCACAAGGATACTTCACCCTAAAATGCGGTGTTATTGGATGATACTCAATCGAGAAGACGTCCACGATCCTGTGTTTTGAAGCAACCCGGCAGACAAACAATCTACACTTCATACTTGTTTCCTTACGGAACAGCTCCCAAAACTATGGCATTCCAGATCCCAGGAGCTCTCCGCCGCCTGGCAGAAGATGCTTTAGATCCGGCGGCGTTAAGCCGTTGAGTCGCTCCATCTTCTCTTTCGCGGCCTCCTCACCTTGTTTGTCGGCTTCTTTGGCAGCGGCTCGTGGCCGCTCGCTTTGATCATCACCTTGGGGCTCTGCTTGGAATTTCTTCTGCAGCTCTTCGCATGCAGACTTGCGTAGCTTCTGGAAAATCTGGTCTTGCTCATTCTCCGGGTCCAAATGCGCAACGATCTGGAGCACATCGGGGCGAATGGCCCTCTTGGAGCCCATCACCGCCGCAATCATGTGGCGCCTGGTCAAAGCAGTCAAAGGCAAAAACCAATTCGAGCTCGGGGCAGTTTGTCGCAGTAGGGCACTATCTTGACAAGTAGCGGAAAAGCAAAAACCAGAGAAATAATTACTGTCATCCTATAAGCTCAAACTCGGGACAGAACTTTGTTAAACGAACCCCCCAAAAAACAGCAACGAAACACGACAACTTCCAAAGAACCACCGACATCCGTTCGTGGAACATGAACCACACTTCCGTCTAATGTATCGTTAATGTTCCCTTATTGCACCCTTAAATGATCCTTAATGTATCCTTATTGTGCTGCTGTTTGCTCTGTGCTTGTTTGGCAATTCAATCTGTGGAACCGATGCAGCTGCAACCCTGAGCCCTATAAACCCTAGACTTTACTGCCCCACTGAGCTTCGCACGTCTCCTCCTCACTTGCACCTCCGCACATGTGGGCGATGAGACACCGGGCCCAATCAATCTTGGTCAGTCTTCCGCCTTTGCCACTTCCGTCGCCCTTCTTGGGCAAGTCTGCAGCAGCCCCCGAGCTTTTCACCAGATTCTGGAGCTCACTGACAGTGAGAAAGGTGCCTCGGCGCAAGGCGGTCTCCAGGGGATCAACAAACTTCAAGATCTCCAGAAGAATGCCTGCGCGATCTCCCTGCAGGCTGATGGGAACCGTTGCTGGTGGTACCAGCCGCGTCTCCACTGCCAGCCAGAACTCGCTCTTCGCGCCGTACATGGTGAGCCAGCTTGGTTCCGGCTGGCTTTGGCCGAAATCCGCAGTCAGGTACTCCTGCAGCAGACTTATCACATGTGTTTGCCATCAGTGTGGGCTTTACAATGATTCGAAACTTAAAATTCGTAATATGTATACATCTCTGAACTGTGGTTCTTTTGACCTGTCCAATCCTTGGTTTCGCTTTATCAACGACTTTACAGAGGAGGAAACGAATTTGCAACCTGCCTGAACGCCAGCAGAAACTTTGTGCAACTTGGCTCCAATGGCGGCCCATTTGCGGTTCTCCAGCGACAGGAAGAATTCATCCGTCTGCACATTGAAGAACACATTGCCGCGGCTGAAAAGCACACCTGGCGGATGCGGTTAGGTGGCCTGACACAGAAGCCTGCGAAAACTGTAGTTCCGGCAAAGAACAATTTACCCAAAGAAAACCATGA